ATCTAAATTGGAACATTTACTGAATAATGACTATCTAACCTGGAACATTTACAGAATAATGACTATCTAAACTGGAACATTTACAGAATAATGACTATCTAACCTGGAACATTTACAGAATAAGGACTATCTAAATTGGAACATTTACTGAATAATGACTATCTAACCTGGAACATTTACAGAATAATGACTATCTAACTGGAACATTTACAGAATAATGACTATCTAACCAGGAACATTTACAGAATAAGGACTACCTAAACTGGAACATTTACAGAATAATGACTATCTAAACAGGAACATTTACTGAATAAGGACTATCTAACTGGAACATTTACTGAATAATGACTATCTAACCAGGAATATTTACAGAATAAGGACTATCTAACTGGAACATTTACAGAATAATGACTATCTAACCAGGAACATTTACAGAATAAGGACTATCTAACTGGAACATTTACAGAACAATGACTATCTAAACTGAAACATTTACAGAATAATGAGTATCTAATCTGGAAAATTTACTGAATAAGGACTATCTAACCTGGAACATTTACAGAATAATGACTGTCTAACCAGGAATATTTACAGAATAAGGACTATCTAAATTGGAACATTTACAGAATAATGACTATCTAACCAGGAACATTTACAGAATAAGGACTATCTAAATTGGAACATTTACAGAATAAGGACTATCTAACCTGGAACATTTACAGAATAATGACTATCTAACCAGGAACATTTACAGAATAAGGACTATCTAACCTGGAACATTTACAGAATAAGGACTATCTAAATTGGAACATTTACAGAATAAGGACTATCTAACCTGGAACATTTACAAAATAATGAGTATCTAACCTGGAACTTTTACTGAATAAGGACAATCTAACCTGGAACGTTGACAGAATAATAAGTATCTAACCTGGAACATTTACAGAATAATGACTATCTAAACTGGAACATTTACAGAATAATGACTATCTAAACTGGAACGTTGACAAAATAAGGACAATCTAAAATGGAAAGTTGACAGAATAATGACTATCTAAAATGGAACGTTGACAGAATAATGACTATATAAAATGGAACGTTGACAGAATAATGACTATCTGAAGTTGAACATTTACAGAATAATGACTATATAAAATGGAACGTTGACAGAATAATGACTATCTGAAGTTGAACATTTACAGAATAATGACTTTGTAGAAACTCGGAGCCGAAACCTAGTTCTGGGCAACTTATAGAATCAAAGTCATATGTGATCAATGGCAGTTTGAAAATACCACAGCGACCCCTACTTTATGGGTACTTAACTGATGACGTAGGCCACAGAAGCACCACAGCGACCCCTACTTTATGGGTACTCAACTGATGACGTAGGCCACAGAAGCACCACAGCGGCCCCTACTTTATGGGTACTTAACTGATGACGTAGGCCACAGAAGCACCACAGCGACCCCTACTTTATGGGTACTCAACTGATGACATAGGCCACAGAAGCACCACAGCGGCCCCTACTTTATGGGTGCTCAACTGATGACGTGGGCCACAGAAGCTTTTTGTAGTTTGCCTGTAACTCATAACTAACACTATTTATTATCATGGAATTTTAGCAGTCCTTCTGGTATAAGGTATTACATAAAAGATGTCGTAAATGACACTTTTATTTCCTTAAATTTTCATATACCCACGTTTTTATACCTTGTAGCTCACCCAACAAAACTAGCTATATGTATAACAAACGCATATCACTTGTGAGCAGTGAATCAAGCTAACCCATGGAACCAACGTAGAAATGATCATCATACGTGAATACCCGGATAAAGGGGTGAAAGTTCAAACATTGTAAGAGAATCACATTATTATCTGGTGGTTTTCATAATGTGAGTAGAATATTAAAGTTTATTCTAAGAATAACATAATTTTAACCATGTTTTTAGCATTACTGTCTGAGATAATAAAACACAGTCACCTAACCCTAACGATAATGAAGGTCCAAGGACCTGCTATGATACAGGTGGACAAGATGAATCAAAAATAAACACTTTACTGGAAAACAATCAATCGTTGAAACGGTAATATTAGTGTGTTGTTGTTGAGGATTGAATGATATAGATACGCTCGATGTAAATATCAAAAATATATTTGGCAAAAACTTACAGATTGAAGTTAAGTTTACTTAAAGCGAAAACAATCCTTGCACGGTCAACAAAGACAGGATTTCACTGGCAAGCCTTGAACCTTTCAAATGAACAGTGAATTTGTCTGAGAACTGTGTATACAATTCACCTTCTCTCTACATCTGACTAATCAGGAAATTGGACCACAAGAATCTGGATGTCTTCCTTATGTCACAGCCGTCCACAAGGATCTGAAAGTATGCGTTCCCCATGCCATAGCCATCCACAAGGATCTGGAAGTATGTATTTCCCATGCAGCAGCCGTCCACAAAGATCTGGAAGTATGTATTTCCCATGTCATAGCCGTCGACAAGGACCTGAAAGTATGTCTTCCTTATGCCACAGCCATCCACAAGGACCATGAAGTATTTCTGCTCCATGCCATAGCCGTCCACAAGGATCTGGAAGTATGTATTTCCCATGCCATAGCCGTCGACAAGGACCTGGAAGTATGTCTTCCTTATGCCACAGCCATCCACAAGGATCTGGAAGTATGTATTTTCCATGCCACAGCCGTCCACAAGGATCTGTAAATAAGTGTGCTCCATGCCATATCCTTGTGGACGGCTCTGAAAGTATTTTGTAGATATCACAAATATACTTTCCGCTTTATAACATAATCCGGTTATAAAATATAAGATTAAACTCTTACTCAAGCTCGATATGATATTTTTATAACACCATTTGTAATTCATAAAATCTCCATTCAATTATTTCGCAGTTTTTAGGCATAAATACACTTTTTTTTTTTGTCCTTACTTATCTGTTTACTGAAATAATGCGAAGTTTAAATCCAACCGATTATTACTTATCAACGTGTTAAAAGTAATATTTGTATCACGTATAATCCCATCAAACTAAAATGCAATAACGACAAAAATCAGCGTCGTTAACGTTTTTCGTTTGTTTTTATCGATCGCAATTAAAAAAATTATAAGGAAAGAAGGATAAGAGCAAAAGAAAAAATTTCCATCAACTCTATATTTTTTGTTACGAACTTTTCTCGTCAACAGTATAAATTTTCAAAACTGCAATTTATCCCAGACTAAATAAACCAAGAAATTGAATTCGGTTAGTTCATAAATTACTTTTACTAATCAATAGTAAAATTAGTTTGATCTCCTTATTTAAAAAACTATTGATTCATTGGAAAAGGTTCAAAGGGGGATTGCTAGGATGATTTCTGACACAGAAGAGTTATCTTTTAGAGATAAATTAAGATATTTTAATTTATTTTCTTATTAGAAATGAAAAGTTAAAGTTTACAAGATTACCAAGAGGGGCAGAGGAATCAATAGGATAGAAACCCCTGAATTCTTTGTGTTCTTTCTGGACGTAAAGCTACTAAGGCTATTCCTAATTTTGAATCACCGACCAGAAGGAAGACATCCGGTCAGCAACATTGTACCTCCAGCTATCAATATAGTAAAAGCGACTCTCATTTTTATAATGTACCCACAATTCAAAGTCCAGAGAAATGTTTTTGGTATCGCATGGATTTAAACCCAGTTCGCCATCTCCGAAATTCAAAGATTTAACACTCGCGCCCACTGAAGACAATGGAACACAAGAATACAACTTTGAGAATTTGAAAGACAGGCTATTCTCCAGTAAGACAGTTTTATTTTTCTAACATGGTGATTGGTTTATTGAACGAGTGCCAACAGCAGTAGCGGAAGCTGGTAATCTGCAATAGTTTAAAAGAAGAATAGCTGATATTCTGAAAAATAAATGGTGGATTTAAATGTTTTACTTTTGTGAAATACGGTCTTGAAGGGAAAAATGGTTTTATGATCTCCCTATGTTATCTTATAACGCTATATTTGTGAAAACAGATTTTTGCAGGTTTTATACTTTGAGTTAGACAACAGTCTGTAGTATTTTTCACATTTAAATACTTCGTCTTTTTTATTTTTCTTCCGATAAGTTAGTAAAATTAACAACCTATTCGGAACTGTGAATTATTTATATTATAACAATTGATCATAATATATTTTAAATGAAGAAATCCGTCCCCCGGTGGGACAGAGGTAAGTTTTAGGGACTTTCAGCACTAAATCCGGGGTTATATTCCCGCGGTAGATACAGGAGACAGCACAATATGGCTTTGCTTTAATACAAAGGAATAAATACTCCTACGGGTCAGTGAAAAGTTAATGGACTTACAGTACCAAAATCTAGGGCTCGATTTCTCAAGGTAGTAAATAATATATATATTACAGTAATGCATTAAATAATATATATATATATATATATATGGCATGTCTATAAAGTATTAAAAGCGGAAAAATTTTAATATTTAACTCTGTAAAACATTTACCTTCAAAATGGGTTATAATTTCATTATACAACATTTACAAGAATTTTGCCTATAATTCACACAGGGAAAAGGAGGGTCAGCCATGATTTTTCTTTTTTGTTGCATGTTTTAAAATTAATTGTAGAGGGCGAATATCTACGTAGGCCTAAATGGTAGGTAAGTGTACATGCGTTATTTTAAATGGTAATTAATTAATATGAAATGAGAAACAAAAATACGCGCAATGAATTCAAAAACATTCTGTAATTGTCATTATGGCATGTACTTGTAACTTTAGAAAAATATATTCTTACCAGTCACAAACTTAAATAAATATACATTTTTTTTTTAAATGAGTTATTGTTGTTAGGCTTAACGTATCTCCTTTTTTCTTTTCTTTTTTTGTATCGCACTAGAGTCTAACGAAACATTTTTCTTAACGTTAGGCTTAGGAATTATAACTAATTTTTCTTAAGTGGTCGCGTGCTTTGGCATTATCGTACATTTTGCTTCCAAATAGTATCTGTGATCATCAGAACTTTATTTAAACAAATTATTAAACAAAAGAACGAAAAAGACTTGGGCAATCTACACAAAGAAAAGATTGTATGCTACCTTAGATTTTTACTTTTACATACTTGTAAAAAGGATACGATCTGAATATTGAATTATTATGGACTTTGGGAGCATACCTTTTCAATCATTATTAGTATTATTAAATGATTCTTAATAGATTCCCTAATTTCAGGTTATAAATTAATTACAATTATGAATAAACACAAAGTAACTAAGTATCTTTAGGGTTAGAAAAAACAAAAAACCTTTGTTCACTTAAGTTCAAAATCAAATCTGAGTTTCTTGCTTAACATGTTTAATTTGTCTTTGATTTGCTTGTATACAGTTGGCAATTAGTGTCACTCATCAGAAAATACCTTAAAAATTCAACCAAAAGATTACAATGAGTATCACTAACATAATAATTATTTTTACTTGGACATGAATTATTACAAACAGAAGGAGAAAGGGGGTATACTACAACATACCAAGCCAAGGTTTTTCATCTGAGAATTTAATTTTTTTTAAATCATAATTATTTTACTCTTACGTGAAAAACTGGTATATTTTAACACATCCTCTTATATCTGAAGTTTTTTGTAACATTAAAGTTGCATGTTTATAAAGACCTGGTATTGTTATTTGTTGTTTAATTTTTTCATAACTTTATAAAAGATGGCTTGCCTATGATGAAGTCTAGAGATAAATACACTTACAAGAGCTTATATGTATGTATATATATATATATATAGAGAGAGAGAGAGAAAGTAACAAAGCTTTATTATTGCAGTCATAGGTTTTAAAAAGAACAGTCTTCATATTTCTGTGTTACATGTAGTAGCACCTTAGTTAGAAATTCTCTAAATATCACTGTATCTAAGATACCAAAACCTATTCATCATGAGGACATGTATTACTTTTTGATCAATTAACATTTTGTTCATGGAAGCGATATTTTTAATAAACGTTTTGTTCATGGAAGCTACGTTGTTATAGAACATGTATATCATGAATTGTTTCTCTGTTATGAATAGGAAATTATTTAAACATCACTCGGTTATACTCTTCTACACTAACTAGTGACAAGTCTCATCTTTTAGGAGGGATTTCAGCCATTGCATATTTTTTAAGTCTTCATAGAATGAGATTTGCAAGTTCATGTTTCAAATTTGATGATGTCAAAACGTTGTACATGTGCTGTTATGTTAAACTTATATTAAAGTTTTTCTTCATTACCCATTCAAGCTGTCTCCAGCCAATATTATTCATGTTTCAAAACTTTCAAGTGTTTATTTCACTATTTTATCATCTGTCAGTTTTCAATAGCACTCCCTTCTGATAGAGTTTAGAATAGCAGTTTTTACATATAATTAACAGCTTTGTCTTTTTTTGCAAATTATAATTTGGGTGAATTTGATTGATTTTCTAAAGTTTTTCTCCTTCTTAGGAGCTACTAGTTCATGAAGCAAGATTTTGGTACATATCTGACACTACATTATTATTTTTTTGTGGGATTCTTCAGTCAAGCTCTTAAAATAAGTGAAGATAGTAGTCTTCACTAGGCCTGAAATTTTTGATGCTCAACTTAAATGTTTCACCACTGTCCGATGTTTGTAGTAAAGACTGTGTTCGTACATGATGCACTGAGCGCTCGTAGTGTAGGATGGTGGCACAGAACTGTCACGCTATGATCTCAACTGTTTCAGTTCCCTGTTCTGAGGTGGCTGATCAGTCGACACGAAACTCGGTTGTTTCTAACTGCGTTAGCATAGAAGTGGGACAGGCTCTTTCAACAGGTCCGTGTGACCAAGATAACATTTCCACAGAACTGTCAAGCCAACAACCAACCATTATACATCTGTCCTTAACTGAAACCATGATTGAACAACAGGCTAACGGGGGTGATCAAAGCCATAAGAAGAAAGAATTGAAACATTTTTCAAATTCTGACAGCTATGATAATGTTTCACTGGGTAACTTGTCAAATATTTTAAAACAGAAAGATGAAGTTCCTGAATGTGATAAAAAAATTCAAGAAAAATCCTCTTGTACCGAGAAGTTAACTAACATGTATGCATTACCAGACCCTAAAAAAGAAAGCATTTGTGTTAGTCCTGATGGTTCTGAGTTAAATACTCATAGTTTAGCTGCATCATTAAGTGTAGGAAAGAATCTTCCAGAGAATCATGGTGTAAATGGTGAACTTAGCACATATACGAGTTTCCTCCCGAACCCCTGGGGTAGTGCCAAAAAGAAGAAAATAATTATAAAGCAACTGCCTCCTTTAGAGTCATCAATAGAGACAGACAACAAGATGATTGTTCGTAAGTCACTGCGTAGACAAACCAGTAAGTCTTGCTTTATAATTACATCGCAGTCAGAACCTAAGACATGTGATGCTGGGAATTTAGACATTTCAAAAAATTATTTATCAAGAACCTTACCCGATGAAGAGAATAAAAATTATGATAAAATTCTAAAATCTTCAGACTTAGGAAAGAGTATAGTTGATATTGAGTGTGTAACTCAAAAGTCCCAAGTTACAACAAACTGTGTATTTGAAAAGAAACAAATGCACTGTCCTAAGCAGAAAGCAGTTCTGACTGTTTCTCCTAATAAAACCAAAAGTACCATTCTGAGAAGAAAACGAACTCAAGGCAAGTCTGTGAAACACAAAAATAAATGTTTGGTTAAGAAAAAGAGGAAAAGGAAGGAGTCAATGTTAGATACTGTGACTATAAATATTCCATCACAAAAACCAAAAAGACCCAAATTGTCTCTAGGGCCGTACATTCACATTGTAGGTACAAAAGAAAGACCGCTGTCTGTCTCTGTCATCAACTTAGCTTTAACTGGAGAGGAGATGGCCAAACCTAGGGTTCAGGTTGCCAACAGGAACCCTAACAGAAGGTTACACGTAGGTCATGTAAGTACCCTGTCTTCAGCATATGATGCTTTTACTAAAGATGAGACTTGGTTGTGTGCATTCTGTCACAGAAGAAGCCACGTCGATGATCTCGGGGATCTGTTTGGGCCATACTACATAGAGGATGACAATCCAAAGAAAGATGATGATGTACTAGTAGATACTAACGCGTGTAATCCAGTAGAGCTCAATAAGCATTGCCGCTCACGTGTAAAGGTGAGTCTCTTATTACCTAAGAATATCTATACTACTAACGTCTAGTTTACCAACATGAAGATTGGTAAAGAAAGGAAAATATTTGTTCTCTGTGAATTGAGATTAAATATTTCAAAATTTTGGAATATTTTATATCTTTAAAGGAAGTTTGATCTAGGTAAAAAAATATATAATTGGTAATTAACATATAAACTTGAGTTTACATAGTCATTCTAAGTTTGTTTGTTTTTATGTGCTGATAAGTTTTTGAACATAATGTTACTTCTAGTTTTCCTTGTTCGCGAGTATGTAATCATAAATTATAAGTTCTTGTTTAAAATTAATGATACGTGAAATTATATCAGAAATGAAAAGTTTGTGAATGAAATCACAAAGTTTATTCAAATGTCAATAGAACTTACACATGCCAAAACAAGTATCAGAAACAAATGTTACGATACATTTAAGTTGACTAAAGTTTACTTCTACCAATGTCTTGTAATTAGAAGTTACAAGTTTAACAGTGGCAGTGTTTATGTTAACACATGAATTGTTTTTAGTCCTGGTATCTCAAACACTTAAAAACAATTACAGACACTTCATCAACTAAGAATGGTAGTACCTTCATTGTGTTAAATGGAAGTGCTTGTTTCTTCACTTGTTGATAACTCTCACGTCTAGTGTAACCCAATGTGTAAAATTCAGTAGTGAAGCATCACGCAGAAAAAATTTACAAACTTCTTTTTTGAATATGTATATTTAGATGAAATTATCTAATCAAGTCTTGTAAAGCAGGAGCTCATTCCATACATAGTCTGTGTATCAGTCTACGGTTCACCTCAACATACATTAAAATGTAGTGTTATTTACAGAGTACCAATAATTTTGAAGAGCTATGACAATAGCTGAACAAACACGTGATGTTTAGGTAAGTCAACAGTAGAGATTACTAGCAAAACCAACAATTTATATCTTTGACAAGTGAATTACAAGCATTCAAAAGGTAATTAAAATTTGTTAAGCTAATGCCAACATTTTATTGAAGTCAGTTGGGAACCAGAAACAATTTTATGTTTTATACCTAGTCACTTTTATAGGCATGCTTGTAGTTATTGGTTGTGTTTTGTTTCTGAAGTGTCTAGTATTGAACACTTTAGGAATTCACTGATGTACAATCTGTGTGTAAATGATTTATTTATGGGTTGCTACTATTTTGTGTTATGTGGTAACTCCTATTTCTTCATTTTGTCTTCTAACAAGTCACTGTCTTGTTTCTTCAATCGTTGTATAATAGTAGTTGAAAAGTTTTATTTGTTATTAGGTATAACACTACATCACAATAAAACTGATAATAGTTGTAAGCGTGTCTGTTTTACTGGCCCAATACGAGTTTCACAATAAAACTGATAATGATTGTAATCGTGTCTGTTTTACTGGCCCAATATGAGTTTCACAATAAAACTGATAATGATTGTAAGCGTGTCTGTTTTACTGGCCCAATACGAGTTTCACAATAAAAACTGATAATGATTGTAAGCGTGTCTGTTTTACTGGCCCAATACGAGTTTCACAATAAAAACTGATAATGGCTGTAAGCGTGTCTGTTTTACTGGCCCTATATGAGTTTCACAATAAAACTGATAATGGTTGTAAGCTTATCTGTTTTACTGGCTCTATACGAGTTTCACGATAAAAACTGATAATGGCTGTAATTGTGTCTGTTTTACTGGCCCAATAAGAGTTTCACAATAAAAACTGATAATGGTTATAATCGTGTCTGTTTTACTGGCCCTATACGAGTTTCACAATAAAAACTGATAATGGTTTTAAGCGTGTCTGTTTTACTGGCCCAATACGAGTTTCTAGTAAGAATGTATAATAGTACACATACACTTATTCTGTTGCATGACATTGGCAGTGTGGCTTTTCATTCAGTATCACAGAAATAGTGTTGTTTTATAAATAAAGATTTAGTTTAAGATGTGATATCATGTGAGCTAGAGTGTTTGGAGTATTAGTGATGAACATAAAAATAAGTAGAACAGATTTGATGCACCAGTGTCTCACAATAGGAAAATAAACAATTCAGTTATACAAAAAAAAGTATTTGTACTTTAATCAACGAATAATTAATTATCAAATTTCACTAGTCACCCAGCTGTTATAAGAAACACAGTATATAAACAGTTTTAATGCTCTTGTTCTATAATGAATACTATGTAATATGTATATAAAACTTGTGATGTTATTATTACTAAATACTTGAAATAAAACATGCCATTTCTAATGTTTTGAACAGTGGGTATATTGAAAATGTGCTTTCTTTGATATTTTGATTAATTTTTTTTATATAACTTAGAATTATCAGTTTGTCCCCATTAACTTTTTATGCACATTTTTGTAAACTATTCATGCTTCAGATTGCTCATTGGTCTATTAATTTGTTGGTTTCAAGATTCCTAATGTAATTTGCATAAAAAAAATGTAAACAAAAATACTATCAATATCCTAGTTAATTCCACTAATTAGTTCTGGAGTCCACTGTGTATTTTACATAGAAAATGAGGGATTCCGATATGGTACATTACCTTTTCTCACATAAATAGCTATTCTGTTCAGTGCTGCCCGCTATGTGGAATTTTTTTATGCATGCCAAAAGCCTTCTATCTCCCCTCTATTGGAATTGACTGATTGCGATGCATCTCTTATGTAAATCATCATGCATCAACCCTCCACCAATAAGAGTGTGACATACTTTCCTGACACGTGTAGCTTCCTCTATTCAATTCTTCCGAATTATCACTTCTTATCTAGCAGTAATTGTGTTCAGGTGTTTTTCTTTTGATGCTGTTCATGTGAATTGTGATTTTAATAGTTTAATTGCCAATGTGGGATTTCTTCATTATTATTTTTTTCTTTGCATTTGAGGAATTCTTTATTTTAACTTTTTTTTTCTGGCAATCACATATTGAACCTGGGGTGAAGATGGTATGATCCTCTTTCCTACCCTCACATGGATGTTGGTTCCAAGTGGCCTAAATTGTGGATTGTAGTTGACTTACCAATGGTATGATCCTCATCCTATGGATTGTAGTTGACTTGCCAATGGTATGATCCTCATCCTGTAGATTGTAGTTGACTTGCCAATGGTACGATCCTCATCCTATGGATTGTAGTTGACTTACCAATGGTATGATCCTCATCCTATGGATTGTAGTTGACTTGCCAATGGTATGATCCTCATCCTATGGATTGTAGTTGACTTGCCAATGGTACGATCCTCATCCTATGGATTGTAGTTGACTTACCAATGGTATGATCCTCATCCTATGGATTGTAGTTGACTTACCAATGGTATGATCCTCATCCTACACCCACATAGATTTCAATTCCCAGCGGCATGGGTTTTAGATGTAGTTCACTTACCATTTACAGTTTCTCATGCCCAAGCCACTCTACACCCAGAGGCACATCATTTTCATTTTCCTTATTTTTATAATTTTTGGGATTGAGTTTCATAAATATTGCATGGTACAGATCATAGTTCTCTATCAGTTGGATGGGCTCCTCTGTTTTCTGCCCATATATGCAACATCTTTCTACGATGGGCGAGAAGTATACCTGGTTCAGAAGTGGTGCAGTCCCCCACATCATATCTTTGAATCTGACTGTGTTATCTTAGGGAGGGTCCTTCAGAAGCTTTTAAAGGATGCTTCTTTCTTTCCCTCACACTGGCCTCTCCATCTGTTTAATGTGGGATTCTAGCTATTTATGTGAGAAGAGGTAATATACTGTATCAGAAGTTATATTTTTCCTACATTGAAAATGTATTTCCGATAGGTGCTTACCTTCTTTCACACTTCCCACTCTTCCTCCCCACTGAAAACCGATGATTCCATCTTCTGCTAAAACTCAAAGTGATAGTTTATTAGAATTGAATAGAAGGATCCACATGTGTCATGAGAGCATGTTGCACTTTTGTTGGTTGACGCATGATGATTTGCATGAGAGATGCTGTGGAATCAGTCAATTCCAATGAAGGGAAGATAGAAGGCTTGTGGCATGCAGAAATTTTTTGTTGCATATAGAGGGCAGCACTGTATGAGTAACTATTTATGTGAGTAGAGGTAAGTACCTATTAGAAGTGGAGGAAAATGATAACATTCACTTAGTTTTAGTCATTTTTCTACACTACAATTCCTATAATTTTTAACATTACTCAGTGTGATACACTATTTATGGGTCCTCTTGGTGGTTTGAAGATTAATATGAGTAAATAAAACATTGTTTGATCAGGTTGTTTTGATGTTAACTTGCCATTTTTTAACAGTCCACTCTCAAGAATGGCATTGTGTAAGAGACTAAATGTATCAAATATTGTTGAGCCAAAGCTCTGTATGTGTAAATCTGTGTTAGTGTTTACTTTAGTTGACTACATTTTGTTTCTCCTGTAGGATAGGAAGAATAGTACATATTCCAAATTTCCGGGACAATCTACCAGTTCTCAGAGTCCAGGTTCGAAACAGCCTTCCCCAAGCACATGCTCTGCACAACCTAGTGGGAAGCCGTTGTCAGAGTTTTGGGTTCACGAGAGCTGTGCCTTCTGGGCACACGGAGTTTATCTTGCTAGTGTAGACCAGGAAATTGCTGGATTAGCTCAAGCAGTAAAAGAAGCTGCCGACATGGTAATGTCTTGTACATAGCTGTTCATGTAAAAATTTATAAATATTAGAACGTTAGGAAAACTAGTAAGATACTTTAACAGAAAAGTGTGTAAAAAGAAGGTTGCTGTGTAATTACAGACTAATGAGAATGATCTAGTTGTATTAGGCTATAACTAATTATCATCATACATTTAATATACATGTGTTGGTATAAAGTTAGCCATATTTTCATGTTCAAAAAGTTTTTAATGATATCGTATGGTTTTTATGAACTTTTAATTATATCGTATCTAACATTTTCTACTTGGCAATAGTTTGGTGGAAAGTACATCAGTATTTAATAATTCATGCGTCAAACAACATTTTTCGGTAGGACTATGCTCCTCCATTTTATGCTATACAGTACCTTTTCACATTTATTCTGCAAGGCCCTCTTTACATTTTGTTATTTGAAACACCTTTTCACATTTATTCTACAAGGCCCTCTTTACATTTTGTTATTTGAACACCTTTTCACATTTGTTCTGCAGGCCCTCTTTACATTTTGTTATTTGAACACCTTTTCACATTTATTCTACAAGGCCCTCTTTACATTTTGTTATTTGAACACCTTTTCACATTTGTTCTGCAGGCCCTCTTTACGTTTTGTTATTTGAACACCTTTTCACATTTATTTTGCAAGGCCCTCTTTATGTTTTGTTATTTGAACAGCATGTATGTGAGACAAGTTCACACATTTTTGATTACATCTGTTACAGGCCCTAGTGTTTGAAAAGTGTATTTTTATAGTCCATGAAATTTAGTCAATATAAATCCAAACTCTACTACTTGTTCCACTGCTGTAGTTGACTAATAATGCTGTCTTATCCAAACTCTACTACTTGTTCCACTGCTGTAGTTGACTGATAATGTTGTATTATCCAAACTCTGCTACTTGTTCCACTGCTGTAGTTGACTGATAATGTTGTATTATCCAAACTCACCACTTGTTCCACTGCTGTAGTTGACTGATAATG